CTGTATTACTATGTTGTTGGAACACCGTGAATCTATGTAGTCAGATAAAACATTCCTCTTGCCTTGAAGAAATACCGTCTAAAGACAATGAGTGAACACAAGGCAAAACTCCTTAAGAGGTTGTTTATCTGACCCTCAGCAGTTCCTTGTTGAAGGACTGAGGGAAACATGTTCAGAGCAGCCTTTGCTTTGTGGTTAGCTGTGAGCACAGGGGAGGCATGGTGATGTAGATTTTATTGTGGTCGGAGAAACAGCTTGGGCCTGTCCTATGCAAGAGGATTTCTGAGTGTTCTTCAATAGCCTGGATGCTTCTCCACGTAATGACATGACCAATAGCTGCTTAATTGAGGCTCCATTAAATCTTTTTTTTCTGCAGGTTACTTGGCTGCCTACTAATTTCCTGTTGCAACGGAGCCCTTCTTAACTGCAGGGCCCAAAGATCCTTCCGAGCTCCAGTTCTCTTTTTGTCCATAGAAGTCTAGCCACTGCTCCTCTGCACGTTCCTCTCTGGGAACTTGACCCACTTTGTACAAGGCTTTAAAGAACCTTTCACGGGGTTCTTCAAAGCAGTCAGCATCAGAACTGGCAGAGCTTTTCTTGGGTATTCCCTGGCACTCACTAAGCAGTGAGCTGGTAGAAGGTGAGCAAACAGACTCCTCTCAGAAAACAGCAAACAGAAGGAGGAATGCAGCCCCTCCAAGAGGCTGACAGGACCATGCTGACAGCCCTGAATTCACTCTTCCCTGCACCTTTCTTGCTGCTTCTAGCCCAATGCCACACCAGATCTGTTTTGTGCACCTCATGAAACTGCGTATTTAAGCCCTTCCTTATATAGCTATAAACAGGCAATATGAGGCAAAGAGATGATGGCACAGCTAAAGCATCTGCTACGGAGTGAGGACTTCCAACTGCTACATCAAGTTATCCCACACTGATCTTGGGTAAGGACCCCTTTCTGACTTGCAAAATCAGGATGTTTAGAGAATTAAATCATCAACAAAGCATCTTAATATCAGTAGAGAGAAGGCTCTGGGGAGGTGTGACTCAGTCACAATTTAAATGTATAATAATTTATATTTATATATATAATGATAGATTTATCACGAGGCTATTTATATATGTATTGTAACTCATAATCAAATTTATCATACTTCCATTATAATTTAATAAAAGCTTGATTTATATAATCCTCATAGGTGTAAGATTCTTGCTAGAAATGTTCTTGTTTCTGGATGCAGCAGCAAGGATGTTGAAATCTGAGTGAATCTAACACTGACCAAGATGTGAGAAGTAAATGACAGTTGTAGTGCCAAAGATGTGTTGTGACCAATTTCTTAATAATGTTCACTCTTGTTCTTATGGGTCATTAAGAGGCTTCACAAAATCTGGGAACTTGCTTCTTCCCAGGACTGCTCTGGCTTGCTCTGTAAATTCAGATCTGCATTGCACAGATCTGTAAAAGAATGCAGGCACAGAGCACAAGATTTAAATGAGATTTAGATGCAAGTTAAAACTTTCAACCTGCAATAACCTCATTCTGCCGTCACATCACACTAAGGCATCAAAGGATGCCAGCGCTTAGGTTTTTGTGTAGAAGTTTCCTAGGTTTCTTCTCTCTACCCCGCTTGGAAGGGCTTTAATCTAGGAAGTGTTTGCATAGCATATGCAGCAGATCAGCTCCTACACAAACTCTGACAGCTTATGCAAAGCATAAATGAAGTAGGTGTCACTGCTATTTTACCTACAATCCTGTGGTGGAGGGTACAAAACCAGAATGGGGCAGCCTGGGCTGATCCCCACAGGATTCACATCTCCTCCCTCTGAACAAAGCACAGTTTGCACAAGGCCGAGCTGTAAATCTGTCTGGGATTTGGAAGGGATGGAGGAGTGCTCCATTCTCATTTCCTCTTGCTGGGCTTTCCCATTGTGTAAAGCATAATAATAAAACCTAATAATAATAACATGGATAAGGCTAGAAAGAGGAGAAGGCAATGGCATGCATAATGATTAGGGTCCTGATGTGAGGGTGGAATGCTGTAAGTCTTCACAAGCAGGAAAGGAACTTGAATTCTGACCTCCCAAAGCCCATGGGAACTGTTACCCATGTTACATGAACCACTGATACCCCTTCTGAAGAGTAGGAGGACTCCCTGGTCTATTTCTGAAGTACAGCACTGTGCCCCATCCTTCTTTCCTAGGGTTCATGGATGTAAACCTCCTAATTGGTAACACTAAAGCAGAATATTCACAGCATTTTCTTCTAACATTTTTCTCCAGTTTACAGGGAGATCTCGCATGGCTTTTGCCATGGAACAATTCTCCCAGTGCTTTACACACACCATGTCTGAATTTTATTTAGGATTGTGGGCACAGGTAGGCAGCCGTCCCCACAACAATTGGCCTCTGGATTGTGAATCCTGGGTGTCCTGCCCCTATTCCCCTCAGGAGCTAAAAGCAACAAAAAAGGACATCTGCTCCCAGCACCTTCAGTCCAGCTTTCCGAATTGGGTGGGAAAACAGACACTTCTCTCTTCTTTAGTCCAAATATAGAAAGAGCTAGCCTTGTGCTCCAGTTCAAGGGGTCTTTCAAGGCTGCAGAAAGCCTGGCAACAGAAGGTGTGAGGCAAATTGAAGAGCAGAGGCAGAAATACCCACTGGTTAACCATGTGGGAATAAAGGGAACCAGCCAGGCCTGTCTTTGAAAGATGGGGAGAGCTTTATCCTGTGCTTGCTCTGCCTACGTCTCGGACGATGACAGCATGCTCATGCAGGAACCCATGCAGTTCTCCCTGCTCAGCACAGTGAGTAAGACCTGTTTCACAATTAATGCTGAGCTGACGCAAGCAGAGTGATGTTACACAGAAACTTAGAACTGACATCCAAAATGCAGGACAGGAGTAGATAAAGAGCGTCCTTAGAAAGAACATATGAAACTTAGATGACAGTGAAGATGAGTTTCCCTTTGGAGAAACTAGTGTGGAATTAACCACAAACAGAACAGTGAATTGCATGCGCGTGTCAGTATTGAAATGAAGAAAGCTTGGCATTTTTTGACAATTCAAAGCTGGTATCTATTGCAGCCATGTTTCTGCATCATCTAACACTCAACCTCCATTCCCTTCTCAAACATTCAAGTGTCATGTTTGGCCTTTCCATTTCAGCTATATTGTGTCTACACACAGCCTGTGTGTGGAGCAATTACATCAGTAATGTGTCTTCCCCAAGGAACTGGTTTTTTAACCTTTCGAGTTCAAACCCAGCCTTTCTAGTACTGACTGAGCCTTGCTTCCAGTCGGATGTCTGGGTGATGAGGTGTGCTAAATGCATTTGTAGCTGTTTGTTCAGTGCCTTGCAGAGACCTCATGGCTTACCTGGGAAGCTGAGTGGGGTTTGGGTAAGAAACATATAATTTTATTTATTTATTAAAACATGAAGGAACATATCTGGTATTTGAACAATATTTTCTGTGTTCATAAATACCAGACAAATAACCTTTTGTATGAGCTGCTGAAGATGTGGGGTATCATTATCCCCTTCTACAAGGGGAGATAAGGGGGGGGGGGGGAAGTTTGGCACTAGCAGGTTGGCAGTAGTGCCAGTGGGCTGTGTAGAGTTCAACTCCCATATGCACTTATAGCAGACCATTTACCCAGTTTCCTTCTTCACAAATCCACAGCACCCACAGCTCCTGCTAACTCTGATACAGATCCTTTGGTGTGGATTTAAGTGCTCAATTCAAGCTACTAGTTAGCTGAAAACGCTGGCTAAAGCAAGCAATTGACAGTGCTGAAATTAAAGCTCGGGGCTGTTTGCTGGTCACTCCTGTAAGTTACGCTTCAGCTAGAGGAGAATTATAAATCCTGTTTGTTTTAAGAAGAAACTAACGATTTAACCTCCAAACCTCATCCAAATACAGTTCTGCCCCAACACAGCAATGTGGCAAATGCACCATAAAGAATGTATTGTTAATTCTCAGACAGGAAAGCTGCTGACATAGACAGGCGCTTACCAGAACATCCCGGACAGCCCAGAGCGAGCTGTTACTGTCAGCCCCTTGCAGCATGTGAGACACCACAGCGCTGGAATCAGCCTGGAGGAAGCAACACGCTGTTCTTATTTCCCACACGTCTACAGCATGCCATTGCCAACACATGCAGGGAATCATAGGGTCAACTAAGTTGTAGAAGCCCTTCAAGATCACCAAGTCCAACCGTTCCCCAGCACTGCCAAGGCCACCACTAACCCACGGCACTGAGGGCCTCGTCTACACGGTGTGTGAGCACTTCCACGGACGGTGACTCTGCCACTGCCCTGGGCAGCCTGTTCCAAAGCCTGAGCACCCTCTCTCAGTGAAGAATCACCTCATGCTCGGTGCATGAGCAGCATCACCGTGATTGTCAGCCAGCGCTTCGAAAAACCCCACTGGCTTCCACGTACGAAGGTTTCTCGGCCACGGAGCGCCACAAAATGGAGCTGCTCCGTCCGCCTGCCAGCCGTGGGGCTCCTACCATCGCCTCTCCCCACACACCACCGGCCCCCAGGGCTGGCTGCCCCTGCCCTTCCCCGCCCATGGCGAGACCCCACACCTCGGGCTGACACCGCCTCCCGGGCCGGTCCCCATTGGTGACGGGGCCGCCTCCCGCTCGCTCCCGCCCGCAGCACACGCACCTCACGCCTCACCTCACCCCGCCGCCCCCCGCCCAGCAGCACCCGCCGCACGGACCTCACGGGCCTCACGTCCCCTCGCCGCCGCCGCCGCGCGCCTCGTCCCGGCCTCCTCCCCGCCCGCCATTGGCCGGCGCCCCGCCAGAGCTCGCCGGCTATTGGTGGAGGAGCGGGGCTCACGGGCTCGGCACGCTTCCTCGGCGGCGGTATGGGGCGGGGCCTGGAGGAGCCACCAATGGGAGCGGCGAGAGGGCGGGGCGTGAGGCCGGGCTTCGGCCGGGGGGGGTAAACAAGCGCGGGCCCGTGTGGCGGGCGTGCGGCGGAGCGGAGCTGGGGTGCGCTGCGGTGCGTGAAGCCGAGCGGGGACAGGTGAGGCCGTGGCGGCTGCCGGGCCGGGCCGGGCCGGTTCGGGCGTGTGGGCCGGGTATGGGGAGTGACCACGGCGGGAAGGGGCTGCGGGGTCCGGGGTACCCGGTAGCGCGGCGCAATGCGGTGCGGTGCGATCCAGTGCAATGCAGTGCAATGGAGCGGTGCGGGAAGGGAGGCGGTATCGGTGTTGCCGCGGGAAGGACGGCCGTGCTCTCCGCGGAGCAGGGTTGCGGTCACCGTTTGGCCTCTCGTCCTGGGGGTCGCTCCCCTGGGGCGCCGTTGCCCGTCGGAGGCAGGGACGTGTGAAGGGTCCGTGGGGCAATGGCGGCGGCGGCGTGCCAGCGGCAGCCCCCAGCCCCGCGGGGCCGTACCCAGCCAGGCGGCGGCCGGTTGCGGCCTTGCCCGTGCCCTTGCCGGGGCAGCGGCTGCAGGACGTCGCGCCGCACGGAGGTGTCGCCGCGGGCGGCGAGCAGCGGGGCCGCGCCGCTGAAGTTGGCCTTACGGGGCTGGGCGCCGGGCAGCGGCTCCTGGAGCTGTGCCCGCCGTGCGGGGCAGGTGGCTGGGCCCGGCTGCTCAGCGCGGGCCGCTTCCGGGCCTTGCGCAGCGGCCGGGTCCCCCAGCCCTGGGACGTGGTGGGTCGCTGTTCGGCTCGCGGGTGCGCGGCGTGTTCTGCATGTCCGGCCCGAAGCTGCCTAGGGGAAAGGATGGAATGGGGTGCTCGGCGCTGCAGCGAGGGCGTTTTGCGATGGGCATCACGGAGGAAGGTGCAGAGCCCTGCCCCGAGCTGGCTTTCCCGTGGGGAGCGTTCTGGCTGCTCCTGGGGTTGTGCCGTGCGACTGGTTGAAGGTGGGCGCAAAATAAATCTGTTGGTTGCTTGCGGCTGAAATGGGGGAAGGAAGCCCTGTGAGCCCCTGGCTTTGGGAAGGCCCCTAGGGGAAATAGTCTTACTTTTGAGAGGTGAACAGGCTCGTAGAGTCTTTGGAACAAATTGAACAGGAGTTAATGGGGAGATACCGAGTTTTAAGCAGGCAGTGAACAAACTGCCTGTAAGTATCTACAGATAGAAAAGTTTAGCTTGTATAGTGCTGCTGTATAGTCACTGACCATCCTAATTTCTGCAGGGCTTCTTTACTAACACTATTTCTGATACCCCAACAGAAGTCCCACCCAGCAGGAGTGTGAGTGGGGAACTTCTTTGTATTCCCTTTGTGCATTGGAAATGTAGTCTTGCAGTCAGCATTATGAAAAACGAGTTGGAAGGCTGCTTTTAATGAAAGTGAAGTAGGCTTTTCTTTTTACTTCACGTTTAGGCAAAGAAAAATGTAAGAGGAAATGAATTCTTTCAGTAACCCAGAGTATTGCTTTCCTAAAAAGAATGAACCTTCTGCTCTTTATTTCTCAAGTTGCTTGTCTTAGGTTGCTTTACTGAACCGGGGTGTATTCTTTGAGCATATACCGAATAATTCTTAGCACTGGGTGCAGGAGGTGGACTGAGTCAATAGAAGCTCAATAAAAGACTTGTGAAGGGGCTCAGAAATTAATCTGAGTTAAAGGCTCAAAGCAGATCGGTATTTAAAGAGAATGTTGCTGGTCTTGCATTTCTCTGCCATGTAATATGAACTTGTCTCCCTTTCATATATCATCATCAGAAGCGTAGCTGCAGTTCATGTGCTTACCAGTCTGCTTGCTCTTAGTCCAGGAGACTTGTTTCTGTATCTTGTAAATGCTTTTTCTTTGCTTTTAGTTAGCAATGACCTTGGTAGCCTTGAGTAAGATATGCTTAGAATAAACAGTTGTATGTTGTCCAGGGGGATAAAAAATAGGTGTCTTGCTGCATGTTGACAGTGTCTCCCTTTTAAAAATAGTGTGATAAGTAGCAGAAGATGTGGAGAATTCCCTTACGTGTTTATTGTCTGAGTGCTGATCACCTTGTTTCCTTGCTGTCAAGGAGATTTCTGTGCTGTGGAATGCAGCTCTGGCTACTTCATTTATGATAGTGCAGGTTAATAATAGTTCGTATTGCATCCATGCAGCAAGACTGGAACTTATTTTGGCTTTTGGTAGTCCTCTGACAGGCAAGTGGTGGGCTGTTGTTTTGCACTCTGTTGGGCTGTATTATTTTTCTAGAAACCAAGATGGAGAGGGGGCAGCAGCTGAATTCCTGCCTTTTGATTTCCTTCCTGTTAAACTGCTTCATTGGTTGCAGAGTTTGGGCTTTTTTCTTGTAGGTAAAGTTTAGTTTGTGCTTCCTGTGTGTGGTTTTCCTTATTGTCTTAACAAAGATGCTAGGGATGGCATGCATCTTGTGGTTTTTATCTTGCGTGTCACTGTGCATGGTATAACTTGCTTGCTCCAGCTTGCTTGCTAAACGCACCTCAGGACTTGGCTAGATGCATGAATAAGCAATTCTCTTACTCCTTCAGTGTCTCAGTACTGATGGATGGATGGTCCAGCTTAGGAAGGAGGTAGTGAGTCTGAAGCAGTGTTTGTAGGTACCCTATCTCCAGTGCATATGTAGTTTTCTCTCTAAAACTGTTTAAGGAAGGAGCCTGGAAGAGGAGGCTTTTGGCTTATTGAGCTTTGTGTTCTGGGGCAGAGCATCTCTAGAAGAATAGCTTGTCTCAACTTGTTCTTTAGAAGTGCTTAAAGCACTGCCTGTGCTCTGAGTGAGTGCTTTCCTTCAGTACCCGGAGAAGAAAGTCGTGCGCGTATGGAACCAAAATGCAAGCTGATAGTGAGGCACAGTAGTTTGAGGGAGGAGGGTCAATCAGCCACTGCTTTCTCATCCAGCAGAGAAAGCTCATTTCATTGACACAAGCATATCTTTACATTCAAAGAAGCTCTCGGTTTTTTAGATGCCCCTTGTTTGTGTCCATCGCTGTTCCTCTCTGTCCCTCAGCAGACAGGAAAATGAAACTTGCCTAAGCTGGTGACAAAGAAATAATGGGATACCCAAATTTTGCCCTTTCATTGCACAGTTGTGTTTCTGCACATCTTTGTAACAGCTTTTGTGTTTTGTCAGGAAACAGAAGTGTAGTGCTAAATGAAGTGTGTTAAATTCCCAATTAGTCGGTTTCTGGTGTACTATGGGCTTCTCACAGCATAGGAAATACACTAGTTTCTCTGAAGAACATAGCTGTCAGCCTGTGGAGTGGGCATCTAGAAGCTACAAAATCCTGTGTCTGCTTAAACAAGTCTGTACCCATACGCAGAGTTAAAACAGGTGTGCCTTTTCCTGCCAACTGCATAAGGCTGTCTTTTTCTTAAAGATCCTGTACATACAGACACCATGAAAGATGATCTGCTTGTGGTCTAGGTGGTCCCAGACCTGTTTTGTGTTGTGCAGGCAATAGCTTCCACTTAGATAGTTGTCTTAGTGTGTTTGTTTTGCCTCTCTAGTTTGTCCTGGTTTTCTGTGTAGATTAGATCTTTATGCAGTCCCTTTCATTGCTAGTCACGTCTCCTTTTAACCAGTTGCACCCCGTGGCTCTCCTGGAAGTGCTGAATGAATGCACTATGAAAGGGCTTGATGTAATACTCTGAAATGTACAGCTCTTTTGCTGTCTGAATTGTGACATTTGGGAGGAGTAAGTCTTGTCTTAGTTTGATATGGTCAAAATGCTCATCAAGGGAATAATCAGGACTAGGAAAGAGATGGAAGGGTAATGACTGGCCAGTAAGCTGCAAGTGGATCCAGTGTTCTTTTCGGAGAGCTCTTAAAAAATTGGTAAAGTCTAGAACTTTACATTGCATTAGAAAACTTTGTGGAGCAGAAGTTGATGTGGTTTGAGATTTACAAAGGTACCTATATAAGTTGCTGAACACTTTGTCTCTCCTAGTTTGGAAAAGTGATACGTTTATGCTATATAGAATATGATTTCATAAACATCTAGATTTCATAAAATATACAACATAAACAATTGTAGATTACAGATTCTTTATCAGGGATGAGAGCTTGCAGATTAGGTTTAATAGTAAGTTATGAGAAATAATAGAGCTCATTACTCGGTGTGTGGTGTGTAGGAACTGACACAACCTGTCTGAGGATTGTGGCAGAGCTGTAGCTTCTGATAGACCATGTTCTCCTTCAGCACTGAGATCAGTTTTTGTCTTCTTGAAGTAGTCTTTTTTTTTTTGCCTGTGGTCCTCTTCTTGCACCTTACTTTTCCTTTGCTTAGAGGGAAGTTTTGGTACAGCTAGAAATAAGAAAGCGGTGTCCTAGCTATCAGAGCTGTGTAAGGGGGCTGTGAATAGACAAGGATATGTTGTAAGTTACTAAATTTGAACTTACCCCTGGCTTCGAGGGCAAGGTTGAAAATCATGAGATCTGTCCGGACACACATGCCTGCAGCATCAGTAGTGGGAAGCTGTGGTGTTAATCTGCTTGTGATGGTAACAGAAGGGTTATGGTCACTGTGTGAGCAGAGGCGAGATGCGCGTGGGGTACCTCTTACTGACTTTGTAAGGTAATGACTCAAGACTCAGTGAGCACGGTTCTGTCCTGTTGTACAAGGATAGTAAGCCAAATAGCCTCTTACACCTGAGGAATGCAGAGCTACAGTACAGTTACAGGGTGTGTCTAGATTTCCAGGAGCTTATAATTAGGAAGGCTCTGACTGGAGATGATTGCTGGTGTGGTGTTTAATCAATTAGATACAACTGTTAACAATATACCGTTAAGATGCTCGGTGAACTGGCTATGAATCCTTGGCTCTGCTCTGCAGGGGTGGGTATTTAAAGGACACTTAGGTATAGGCTGCCTGCTGTAAGGATCGGTGTACTCTGGAGAGAGCTGTGATCTGTTCCCAACCCTATCACTGACTTGTAGTGTGACTTTGGGTAGATTACTTGTTCCCTTCCCTCTGAAGTGTAGGGGAATTTGATATCAGTCCCTTTTCTTTAGCTTTTCAAGACGTGAGTGATGTGTGTTTAGATGCAAATGCAAGAGCTGCTATTTGCCTCGAGAATTTTGTCTTAATTAATGGTGTGTTTGTGTCTGA